TTCACACAAACTCAGTATTACGAGCCGACGAACGCATCGACTGCAACCAACACCGGGCAGGGCGATCTCAAAGTGACCTTGTCCCGGGGATACCGACGGATTTCGCACATTTCTGACGGGACGTTCGAGTCGTACACTTGCTCTGACGGCGGTGTGTTCTGCTTCACTGAGCAAGCGGCAGGGTGGAAAGGCCTGTCTACCACCGGAGGGTCGTTGGATGCTACCATCTTCCACTACGCACCGTACGCACACATGGGCACTGGTTGCGCGCTCTTGGGCTGCGCATTTGGCACCGACAACCACACGGGGATGCTCGTCCCGACCTCGTCGTTCTCCGCGCTTACCAAAGACAAGACATACGAGGTGCAGCTGTTCAGCTCCAGCATGTACAGCGGTATGGAACTGGAGGCCAACTCGCTGCTGCAAGTCATCTGGAACGGAGTGATGGTCGGGAATGTCACGGCGGGTTACAGCGACTGGAAGTATCACGCGTTTTCTGTCACCGCTCTTGGCGGCGGCCAAGACAAGCTCGTGCTCCAGGGTGGAAGCGCACCTGCATACGTTTTTATTGACGACGTTTACGTCTTCTTGATTTGATGCGGACTTTTGTATACATATAAACGAATTCTAATTCTTGGACACGAGATAAGATGAGATGCTGCTAAGCGAGTGTTCGCCGAGGCAAAATCTGATGCGCAGTAACAGCCACCGGACCACCGCCGCAGTCCGGAGTCCGAGCCGCCATGTGGAGAAGATTAGAGCGTTGCTTAAAACTTTCATCGCGAGGTCGAAAACGTAAAGGGGTGCAATGGGCGACAAGTACCGACTGGTGGCCCGTGCTGCTCCTGCGCCTGCTACTCACCGTGACTCCTCTGCGCCTCCACCACCACTCGCTGCAATGGTGCATGATGAGAAGGCCCCATTCGTCGCAGCCACTGAGATCGACCTCGAAGCCGCGACGTTCCCTGCAGCAGTCCCCACCCAAAGAGCTCGCTCTGTCTCCAAGAGACTCGTGGCGGTCGTTGCAGCCGCGCTCTTCGCGCTCACCCACCTCGCGCTGCTCAACTTCCGGTCTATCCCCACCAGACCACATCTAGCGCGCCTCCCGATCAATGCTGACACCATCCTCGCGCGATGCCGCACGCTCCATGCGAAGCCGGTGCCCCCCGGGCCCGAGTACTACGCGCGCAGACAGTCGGACCGGTTTGAGCCCGGGACACGCGCGGTCTTGCTGAGGAACGCGACGATCTGGACAGGACGCGCCGACGGGCTCGAGGTGGTGCGCGGGGATATGCTCATGGACGGGGGCGTCATCGTCAGTGTCGGAGATGTTCCGGAGGCGCTTCTGGTGGCGAGCGAATACGACGTGTTGGACGTTGCGGGTGCCTGGGTCACACCTGGGTAAGTCTTGAGTCGCGCGCGCGGATGCATCCTCCCAAAGTTTCTGACGCCTCTGACGTAGAATTGTCGACATGCACGCCCACTTGTCGATCGGGCCTGCGCCGGCACTCAGCGGTGCCGAAGACGGCAATTCGAACCGGGGTCTGGTTCTGCCCTTCCTGCGTGCGGTCGACGCGCTGAACACTCACGACGAGAGTTTCCTCAACTCGATGTCGGGCGGCGTGACCACTAGTTTGGTGCTTCCTGGGTCTGCGAATGGAATCGGTTCGTCGTTGGGATGCTGTGCGCGTCTGTATGCGATGGCTGACGGAGAGAGTAGGCGGTCAGGGCTTCACGATCAAATTGCGACCTACCAAGGAGCGGTCCAGCTCAGCCATGCTGGTCGACTCTCCTTTGACGTTGAATGGCTCTGCCATTGACTACGAAGCGCCTTTGCGCTGGAGGCACATGAAGTGAGGAGTGTTTGTTCGTTGTATATCCGCAGGATCTCATTTCGCTTGCTAGACACGCATGTGGTGAAAATCCATGTAAGTCATTTCGATACCAAAGACATGAGCTGACATAGAGCTAGCCAATTTTTACAATGGTGTTCGGATGGACACCGTGTGGGCCGTCAGACAAATGTGGGTGCCTAGGGATTTTGGAAGTCACGATGACTGAATGCAGATCAGATACGACCAAGCTCGACAAATCAAGAACGCGCAAGATGGATTCTGTGAACGCGCTCTGGCTGGCGAATGGGAAGGTCTTGGCAACTTTCCCGAAGAGTTGTCTTTGGAGGCTTTGGTTGACATCCTGCGCGGAAGATTCAAGGTTTGTCTGCAGGCTGAACTGCGAGGAGGCGTTTTCCTTGACGAACGTATAGGTCCAAACCCACTGCTACGAAGCCGTGGACATCGATTACTTTGTGCGCTTGACCCAGGAGTTCCAGTTCCCCGTCTCGGCCTTCCATCATGCTCACGGTAAAGAGTGTTCGTTGACATAGCTTGTCTCGATACTCAGCGGTTATGCCAGAAACGTATCTGGTCCCTGACCTCCTGAAGAAAGCATACGACCACGCGCCTGGTTCTGCCATTTTCTCGAGCTTCTCGCGGTACAAGCGCGAAGCATACCGGCACTCGACTTATGCAGCTCGGATTCTCGCAGACAACGGTCTCAAAGTTGCCATGAAGGTATGCGACGGTCATGTGATCGTTTCGTGGTTTGATGGACAAGTTGACCAGAGCGATCATCCCGCCATCGTGTCGAGGTTTCTCTTGCATGAGGCTCAACTTGCTCATTACGCAGGGCTGAGCACTGGCCTTGCATTGGCATCAGTGACTACGACGCCTGCCGAGCTGATTGGACTGTCCCATCGTGTGGGATCAATCAAACTTGGTAGGTACAATTTGCATCTCCCAACTCATCTTATCTTATCTCGGTCCAGGCTATGATGCCGATGTCGTTGTCTGGGATTCGCACCCCCTTGCACTGGGAGCAGCTCCAACTCAGGTCTATGTTGACGGCATCCCGCAGTTGTCCAAGCCGTTCTCAGTCAAGAAACCCGCCTCGGCTCAGCATGCCCCGAAAACACCCAACTTTGACCAAGAGAGGGCGGACGCGATCAAATACGAGGGCCTGCCTCCCCTTGAGCCGGAGGTCCGTACCCCGGAGTCGATTCTGTTCCGGAACGTCTCGAGTTTGCTTGTGGACGGGTTCGCCTCCTTCGCGGCTCCGGGCGACGTGCTCGTCAAGGAAGGCGTGATTGTGGCTGTTTCGGGCGCATCCGCACTCGACTCTCGCGGCGCGCGCATTGTTGATCTGGAAGGCGGGAGCATCAGCCCTGCGATGGTCTCCGTCGGGACGGTCATGGGCTTAGAGGAGATGTGGAGCGAGGACTCGACAGGCGACGGGGCTGTCTTTGATCCGCTTATGGGTCACGTCCCTTCTATTTTGGGAGAGGACACTCTGATACAGGCGTACGATGGACTGCAGTTTGGGTCTCGCAATGCGCTGTGAGTGGTAGGGCTCTGTTGCCTGCCGAGTTTGACTGATATTTTCGTCAGTTTGGCATACCGCGAAGGCGTCGCTACGGCTATCGAGGCACCCAAGGGCTACAAGTTCATGTACGGACTCAGCACGTCGTTCTCGCTTGCTGCGCGGCATAAGCTGGAGAAAGGCGCGGTCGTGCAGGAGATCGCGGCGCTGCATGTTTCTGTGACGATGGGCAACTCGGACGAGGCTTCGGTCAGCACCCAAATTGCGACTCTGAGGCGGCTGTTGTTGGACCCTCCCAAGAGCTATGGATTCAAGCAAGTCGTCGAGGTACGCTCATGCGGTGTTGTTCTCACTGATCATGCGTTTAACACTGCCTATGCAGGGAACTATACCCCTGGTCGTCGACGTCAACAGCGCAGACATCATCGCAAGTCTCCTCGCCCTAAAACGCCAGGTGGAACACAAACACGGCAACCCCATCAACCTCACGCTCTTCGGAGGATCAGAGGCGCACTTGCTCGCCAAGGAGATCGCAGCAGCCGACGTCGGGGTGGTGCTAGCTCCAGCCCGCAGCTTCCCTCACACGTGGGAAAAACGCCGGCTCCTCCCCGGGCCGCCGTTATCCGCCGAGAGCTCTGCGGCGTATTTGCACAGACACGGAGTCATCGTCGGACTCGCTCCCCAGGGCCTCGAGGGCATGGCTCCGATGACGGGCTGGGCCGCTCACAATCTGCGTTTCGATGCTGGATGGGTGCGCAGATCTCTTATCTCGAAGTGTCATCGCGCTGATGTGGGTTGCTGCAGGTCTCGCTTGAATCCGGGGGCGCGGTCTCCAAGGAAGCTGCGCTGGCCATGGTTTCGACGAATCTCGAGAAGCTGCTGGGAGTGTCTGCGTCGGCAAACGGGAGCACCGAGTTTGCCGCGACGAAGGGCGGCGATTTGTTCACCTTTGAGAGCAAAGTTGTGGCCATGATATCTGGCAAGCGGGGGCTCGTTGACCTGCTGTGAAGACATCTTATTTTATGGCATACGCGAGGATCGTGGATAACTTGAACAGCTGTTACTTTGGCCACTATATTCCTCAAGTCTGAACACGCAGGTTGAGAGCTTGGGCTTCAAAGATCGGTCGACCGATACACCACTGAATACACAAGTCCTCCAAATCAGTAACAGTGGTCTGTTTTACTGGAATAATGCCCTCGACAAAACACAAGGATCATGAGTCACAACAAGATATGTTTGGGCTAAAATGTATGAAATTTCATCGGTCATTAATTTCGAGGGTATAAATTACAGGTAAGATATGCGACACCCAGATGAGGTACCTGTTTCGTAAGCAGCACAGCCACCTGCCAAATCTTGCGGTCAGCGCTTTGAGGAATTACAAACTATGCAATAGTCATATCTCCACCAGTAGCCTTTGCTTAAGCCGCCATAACAGGGGGCAGAGTGTAATACCCATAAGATCTTTTATCGATCCAGGCTGCCTCTGAACCTGACAGCCCTTGGTCATATGATCTTGATGAAATTGGGGTCAAACTGTGAGGGGATGTGATGGACCAATAACCAATGGGTGGGGACCGGCAACAATGATCTAGGACTCATTTCCGGGTCTGACGTGACTTACATTATGTCACACGAGATTGCCGAGTGAGACCAATCGACTTGGGACTCATCCCCATGTTCAGTCTGAGAAAAGCGAGTGTTCGCCGAGGCAGACTCTGATGCGTAGGGGTCACCGCTGCACCCCGAAGCCGGAACCCACCATGTGGAGCAGATGACACCTTTCTTTAAAACCGACATCGCGAGCCGAAAACGCCAAGGGGTGCAATGGGCGACCAGTACAGACTGTTGGCCCGCGCTGCTCCAGCGCCTGCTACTCACCGAGACTCTTCTGCGTTTCCACCACCAGTCGACTCACTGGCTCATGATGAGAAGGCCCCATCCGTCGCAGCCACTAAGCTCTACCTCGAAGCCGCGACGTTCCCTGCAGCAGTCCTCACCCAAAAAGCTCGCTCTGTCTCCAAGAGATTCGTGGCGGTCGTTGTAGCCTCGCTCTTCGCATTCACCCACTTCGCGCTGCTCAACTTCCGGTCTATCCCCACCAGACCACATCTCACGCGCCTCCCGATCAATGCTGACACCATCCTCGCGCGATGCCGCACGCTCCATGCGAAGCCGGTGCCTCCCGGGCCCGAGTACTACGCGCGCAGACAGTCGGATCGGTTTGAGCCCGGGACGCGTGCGGTCTTGCTGAGGAACGCGACGATCTGGACGGGACGCGCCGACGGGCTCGAGGTGGTGCGCGGTGATATGCTCATGGACGGGGGCGTCATCGTCAGTGTCGGAGATGTTCCGGCGGCACTGCTGGTGGCAGGCGAATACGACGTGTTGGACGTTGCGGGTGCCTGGGTCACACCTGGGTACGTTTCTCGCAGATGTACGCTCTCAACACCTCTGAAGCTACCGACGTAGACTTGTCGACATGCACGCTCACTTTGCAGTCGATCCTGCGCCGGTGCTCAGCGGCGCGCGGGACGGCAACTCGAACCGAGGTCTCGTTCTGCCCTTCCTGCGTGCGGTCGACGCCTTGAACACTCACGATGAGGGTTTTATCAACTCGATGTCGGGCGGTGTGACCACCGCTCTGGTTATTCCTGGGTCCACCAATGGAATCGGTTCGTTCTTGGGATGCTGCGTGTGTCTGCATGTGATGGCTGACGTAGAGAGCAGGCGGTCAGGGCTTCACGATCAAATTGCGACCTACCAAAGAGCGGTCCAGCTCGGCCATGCTGGTTGACTCTCCTTTGACGCTGAATGGGTCTGCCATTGATTACGAAGCGCCCCTACGTTGGAGGCACATGAAGTGAGGAGTGTTCGTTCGTTGTATATCCGCAGGGTCTCATTTCCCTTCCTAGACACGCATGTGGTGAAAATCCATGTATGTAGGCTCATCTTGGCTGACTTCAATTGACATGCAGACCAGCTAGATACTTCGATGTTGTTCGGATGGACACCGTGTGGGCCGTCAGACAAATGTGAGTCCCTAAGAGTTTTGAAAATTACGATGACTCAATGCAGATTAGATACGACCAAGCTCGACAAATCAAGAACGCGCAAGATGGATTCTGTGAACGCGCTTTGGCCGGTGAGTGGGAAGGTCTTGGCAACTTTCCCGAAGATTTGGCTTTGGAGGCTTTGGTCGACATTCTTCGAGGAAGATTCAAGGTTCGTCCTCAAGACTGATCAGCAAGCAGCGTTGTTCTTGACGCATACATAGGTCCAAACCCACTGCTACGAAGCCGTGGACATCGATTACTTTGTGCGCTTGACCCAGGAGTTCCAGTTCCCCGTCTCGGCCTTCCATCATGCTCACGGTAAAGAGTGTTCGTTGACATAGCTTGTCTCGATACTCAGCGGTTATGCCAGAAACGTATCTGGTCCCTGACCTCCTGAAGAAAGCATACGACCACGCGCCTGGTTCTGCCATTTTCTCGAGCTTCTCGCGGTACAAGCGCGAAGCATACCGGCACTCGACTTATGCAGCTCGGATCCTCGCAGACAACGGTCTCAAGGTTGCCATGAAGGTATGCGACGGTCATGTGATCGTTTTGTAGTTGAATGGACAAGTTGACTAGAGCGATCATCCCGCCATTCCATCGAGATTTCTTTTGCATGAGGCTCAACTTGCTCATTACGCAGGGCTGAGCACCGGTCTCGCATTGGCCTCGGTGACTACAACGCCTGCTGAGCTGATTGGACTGTCCCATCGCGTGGGTTTAATCAAACCTGGTAGGTGCAATTCGCACCTTTTATTCCATATCATCTTATCTTGATCCAGGCTATGATGCCGATGTTGTTGTTTGGGATTCACACCCCCTTGCACTGGGAGCAGCTCCAACTCAGGTCTATGTTGACGGCATCCCGCAGCTGTCCAAGCCGTTCTCAGTCAAGAAACCCGCGTCATCTCAGCATGCTCCGAAAACACCCAACTTCGACCGAGAGAGAGCGGACGCGATCAAATACGAGGGCCTGCCTCCCCTTGAGCCGGAGGTGCGTACTCCGGAGTCGATCTTGTTCCGGAACGTCTCGAGTCTGCTTGTGGACGGGTTCGCCTCCTTCGCGGCTCCGGGCGACGTGCTCGTTAAGGAAGGTGTGATTGTGGCTGTATCGGGCGCATCGGCACTCGACTCTCGTGGCGCGCGCATTGTTGATTTGGAAGGCGGGAGCATCAGCCCTGCGATGGTCTCCGTTGGCACGATCATGGGCTTGGAGGAGATGTGGAGCGAGGATTCGACAGGCGACGGGGCTGTCTTTGATCCGCTGATGGGTCACGTCCCTTCTATTTTGGGAGAAGACACTCTGATACAGGCGTACGATGGACTGCAGTTCGGGTCCCGCAATGCGCTGTAAGTGGTGGGGCTCTGCTGCCTGTCGAGTTTGACTGATATTTTCGTCAGTTTGGCATACCGCGAAGGCGTCGCCACGGCTATCGAAGCACCAAAGGGCTACAAGTTCATGTACGGACTCAGCACGTCGTTCTCGCTTGCTGCGCGGCATAAGCTGGAGAAAGGCGCGGTTGTGCAGGAGATCGCGGCGCTGCATGTTTCTGTGACGATGGGCAACTCGGACGAGGCTTCGGTCAGCACCCAAATTGCGACTCTGAGGCGGCTGTTGTTGGACCCTCCCAAGAGCTACGGATTCAAGCAGGTCGTCGAGGTACGCCCACCCGCTGTTTATCTCGTTATTTATACGAATAACACTGCCTCTGCAGGGAACTATACCCCTGGTCGTTGACGTCAACAGCGCAGACATCATCGCAAGCCTGCTCGCCCTGAAACGCCAGGTGGAACACAAACACGGCAACGCCATCAACGTCACGCTCTTCGGAGGATCGGAGGCTCACTTGCTTGCCAAGGAAATCGCTGAGGCCAATGTCGGGGTAGTGCTCGCTCCGGCCCGTAGCTTCCCTCACACGTGGGAAAAACGCCGGATCCTTCCGGGGCCGCCATTATCCGCAGAAAGCTCTGCGGCGTATTTGCATAGGCATGGAATCACCGTCGGACTCGCACCTCAGGGTATCGAGGGATTGCCCCTGATGACTGGCTGGGCCGTTCATAATCTGCGCTTTGATGCGGGCTGGGTGAGTAGCTTGCGTCTCGAATTACCAGCGCTCTGAACGGTTTTTGTTCCAGGTTTTCATTGAATCCGGGGGTGCTGTCTCGAAGGAGGCTGCGCTGGCCATGGTTTCGACGAATCTCGAGAAGCTGCTGGGAGTGTCTGCGTCGGCAAACGGGAGCACCGAGTTTGCCGCGACGAAGGGCGGGGATTTGTTCAGCTTCGAAAGCAAAGTTGTAGCCATGATATCTGGCAAGCGGGGGCTCGTTGACCTGCTGTGAAGACATCTTGTTTTACGGCATATATAACGATAGTGGATAATTTGAACACTGAGATTGTAGGTACTTCAAGTATGCAAACCCCTGGGCTCAGGCTTAGGCTGCGAATGATGCACTTCAGAAGAGCAGTCGATCCATACACCACTGTATACGCACGCGCACAGTCATCGATTTCACCGGAAGAATGCCCCGGACAAAACCCATGAATTGTGGGTCAGGACAAGATACGTTCGGGCCAAAAAGTATGGGATTTCACAGGTCATCGGTTTCACGGGGTATCTATGGAATTACAGCTACGTGCTAGAGCAAGTTGACGAGCCCCTCTCCCATGTCGTTGGTGTTGTACCCCCACCGATCGGGCCGAGTCTGGAGGTACACGACCCCGTCCTCAATCACGGTCTCGGTCGTGCTGTTGGTCTTGGGTAGGACGCGGATACGGAACGTTTTGGACTCGATGGTCTCCTGGAGACCCTCCTGGAGCATGTCGTCGTCCTTGAAACCTGGAGAATCATGTCATAATCAGTGGGCCGCTGGGATGGCGTCAGATGGGACCCACCCTGGCGCTCAAGCTGGTACTGCAGACCCTGGAAGTAGCGGAGCACAATCCCGCCGAAACCAGACTCCCAGTCCTTGGAGTCAGTGATCCCCGTGGAGAGGGCTTTGTAGACCTCCTCGAAGTTGGGGTCCAGTGTAAACTCGGCTCCGAGGATCTTGCTGATGGCCTCCTTGCACTCGTCGATCTCCTCGTCGTACTTGTCGTCAATCGAGTGTTTGGCCGACAGAGAGAAGCCCGCGGTTTCGACGCCCTCGACTGCGGGAAGGATCGTGCTTTCTTGCCAGCTGCGGATGGGATATCAGTACACATAGTGTGTCGGCGTGCGCAAGGGCAACGTACTTTTGGTTGTAGCCGAGACGGTCGTGGCGGAAGAGAATGCGGTAGACACCATCCTTGACATCGGCGCTAATGGTCTCGCCCTTGTCACCGTTGGGGTTCACCTAACAAAGGTTTAGTATGGACACTATTAGAATCAATCATACAATCCACCTCGAGGGTGATCTCAGACTGTTTGACGGCATCGTTGAAATACTGCTTCCCGTTGTCGCCATAAGTCTTGAGGAAGCTCTCCAGTCCAGTCACGAACCCCTCGAAGTAGCTGGAACGCGATGATTAGGCGCTAGGCCAATTCGCCAATCCACGAGCCTCAGACATACCCATTGAAGCAGCTGCCCGCGGACGTGTTGCCGTCCTCAGCATAGGCCCACACCTCGCCTGGCTTCACACTGATGGTATACTCGGATCCAAGTGCCGTCTTGATGCGCTCTTGCAGCGCCTCCTTCTTCGAATCAAAGTTATCTCGGACTGATAATAGTGATAAGATTACCCCGCATAAGCTAGGTGATCGGATGTGGGGACGCACTATCTTTGCGAACGGCGAGCGGGAGCTTCTCGATGGCAGGCTTGGGCGACCAGGCGGGAGTCTTGGGCATCGTGCTGTAGAAGTGCTGTAGAGAGTTGGAAGAGGCGTCGGTCGTTGCTGCTCTTGCCTAGAAATTCAGCAAGTCTTTAATACGCACTCGCTTAGGCACAGAGCCTCCTTTCGACTGATCAACTGATCAATCGAATATCAGTCCGGGCGCGACAGGACGTCCATGTCCACGTCGAGATGTTTAGGACCCGTTTGGCAGGCCAAAGCCAAGAGTCTTGGTCAGGAGGGACCGCAATTGAGGGAACGTTTATGATTCTGTAGTGTCTAGGGACACGAGCTGTAGATTATGACACCAAATTGAAATGGATGGTCTATTGGTCGAACTGAACGAGACGACAAGACTGGAGAGTTGCCGGGCCGTACGCGCCGGATGTTGATGCTTTCGAAGTCTGCTGCAACGCGCACACGTGATCCGAAAGTGCGTTGGCATCCTCCTTCAGAACGTGAAACTCAGATGTCAGAGACACGAGTGAGATTACTCACAATGACCTCGGGCGCCAGTCAATTCTACGTCTGGATGCAAGCGCCTGCTGTCCTCCCGACAGGAGACGTTGACTGAAGGGCCGGCAGTGCGCGTCAGTCACACCTCCAACAATCAGGAGAACAGTCCATTCATCCAATAAAGCGATCCATATCTAGGGACTATGACTGCCAATAATCTCCCTCCTCTCAATGTCTAGAGAACTGTGCGCATATTGTTGAATGCTAGGAACGATACTGAACACTTTTACTCAGTCCCCTCAAAGTCCGCGTCGACATTCGCGACCAGTGGGATAGCTCTAAATCATCCGTCAACGGATCCGTCGCAGCTCTTACCAAGGTCCTCGGCCACACGATCGCACCCCAGATTGACTGGCCCATCCTCTGGACGAGTGTCAAGGAGCGCTATTCCGACGACAACACGACCTTCGTCCCGACCGTGGTCCGGTACGCCATCGCATGGTACGAACGGCTCAGCGACCGCCTCGACAACGATGTGTACGCGGACTGGACTGAGTCTCTTCTGGACATCCTCTCGGAGCACACGCAGCTCGCCCTGCGCATCCAGCCCGGGGAGAAAGGCATGAACCGGCCTACGACCCGGTGGGAGCCAAACCTCTCCGCATTCCTCCTCTACTTTCCGACGACCACCACCGCCCAGTCTTCGTCCCATTCCAGCCTCGACTCGGGCTTTGATCGCGACTTTGAGAATCTGCTGAACGCAGACGCACCCAAGGACGAGGAATGGGCCGAGGTCGTAGTGGAAAAGACCGTCCCTGCTGAGGCGGTTCCAACGCCCGCTGGAGCTGTACACGGAGGATCTGTCCCGGCGGCATACACCCTCCAGCCCGCCGCGTCCGTCTCGCGTCTGCCTGTGGTCGATGCGCTGGCCCGGCCGCGTGAGCTGTTCGCTACCGCGAGCCCGCACAACCTCATCGTCGAGGAGCGCAACGGCTCCATTGTCGTGCAGGGCAGCCACGAGCCGAGCCTGGAGCTGCTCGCGTCGTATCTGAGCAAGTGGGGCAAGTCCAATCCGAACGACAGCACCAAGGTGAGCGAGCTCGCTTCTTGCACCGTGTGTGAGCCGGCGCTGACTGCCTGCACAGAGACCGATCCTGAAAGCGGAATTGCGTGAGTCGGAGTTCTGTTTCGGAGTCATGGATACGCTCGTGATTGAGCGCCCGATGACGTTCGGCAGGCAATCTTCTGGAGGGCCGTTGAATCCGGTGCTGGTCTATGCGTTTGTCGAGGGTGTGCTGGGGTACAGGATGGTCGACATCAGCGCTGGGCAGAGGTCGTATGTGTCCACGACGCTGTTGAAATGACCACCACGAACAACTCGATTAGGTTACTCTAATTAGTCTATGGTCGTCTATCTATTGTCTGTAAAATCTAAATCTACGAGACATCACAGCAGGGCAGCAAGCGACTTCCACGAATTCTCTTGCTCGTCAAATCCATCGACTTGCTCGAGGGAGGGGAATAGACGTCTCAAGTAGTCGCCGAGAGCTTGAGGATCTGCTGGAGGCTGCGGCGAAGTCAAGGTCGCCTGTGTCAGCTTACTACTGGTGGATGGCTCGGGTATTTCTAGTGCCCCGCCGGAAAAGCAGAGAGGCATAACCAGTCTCTCGAGGGCCGCCATCTTCAGCGCAAACGAGCGCAAGCACGCCGGAGTTGCCAGCGGACCAGATATACGCTTCGACGCACAGTCGGTCGCGCAGCCCAGATCCAAGTGCACCAATCTCGGCCACCATGAAGCGGCCATGTCGATGTCCGCATCCGACAGAAGCGGGAAGTAGGTCAGGTCGAGAACTAGGCGGCGAAGATGTCGCAGAGATGCCAGGCGTCGCATCGCGTCGAGTGTGGGGTGCTGGCTGGGGCAGTCCGGTGACGGCAATTCGGCGTCGACATCTTCCAAGTCGTGTTCTATCGTAAGCTCCTCTAGCGCCGGAAAAGCGAGTGCGTCAAAAATATCACTCCAGGACGATAGTGCCGTGAGCTCGAGGCGGATGTTTTTCATGTGATCCTCCGATACGAAGCGCAGGAAATCCTCAAGGAAACCGGCGGAAGCCCGGACAGCAAGCGAGCGAAGTGGAAGCCGGCCCGACTGCCGGGTGCGACCGGGGTCCAAGTGTGCTGCGTCCATGTCCAGCTCGAGCAACCGGGGAAGGAGGAAGACCGACTCGAGTATCTCGGAACTCAGGCTAGTCCCTACGCGCAGAGTCAAACTAGTCAGATCGCTCATACGAGCCAAGTCTATGGGTTGGGGAAGATTCCCGCGCAAACGGAGGCGCGCGATATGTGGGGCTGCCTTGGGTAACGCCACTAGAAAGTGGTCGGAAGATTCGCCCGCCGATCCTCGGGACTTTCTCTTGAACCCGAAATCCAGATCCAGGTGGAGAAGACTAGGAGTGAGGCTGAACGCGGCAGGGAGCGATAGCGCGTCCGTAGTGGATAAACGCGTTGTAACCAATCGTGGGAGAGTACACGAGGATGATTCTACTAACTCTGCCAGCAGGGCAGGGTGAAGGCGTAAGTCATGGCGTTGGACGATATGCTTTATGCGGCGGGCGTAGAGGTTGAACCTGGTGAGGTTCAGGGGCTGCCCACTCGTAACACGCTGTTAGATAGTCGGTAATACGGAACAGGTGAGGAGTCAAAGTTTTCCTCACATAGACACCATCTATACGAGCTACCCCATCAATGAGCTGGATCAACGGACCCAGCGAACAGACGTAGCACCACAGAGCGTCCAGCGCAGGATCATTCCAAGCCCGACAGCATCTAGCAGCAGCCGTGAGCGACGGAAGTGGACATAGGTCCAGAATCTGGCGAAGTACGTCGTCCAGCAGTAGGACCGAATGCATCAGAATCACGGTGCGGGGAGAGGGGCAAAATTTGTTAGCGACGTGATGGTATCAACGTGTACACAGCATTATACAATCTGTTAGATCTCATCTTCCACAAAATGGTATGTCGGCCTCACTCACACATTCGTTGCCCTGCTGATGCCCGGCTTAGCGTCCCATCTTGCTGCAAGGTCTGTCCATCTTGGTGAACTCGAATCGTCCACCCATCAACCCGTGATCGAACAGGACACGAGCGTTCGCTGACGCAGATAAAATTTAACGCCGAGGGCGACTTGCTCTTTTCCTGCTCCAAGGACCATATCATCAACGTCTGGTACTCGCACAATGGAGAGAGACTAGGCACGTACGAGGGCCACAACGGAACTGTCTGGACAGTGGATGTGGATCGTGCGTCGAATCCACTTTTCTTGCTTGATCGAGAGGTAACGTTTGTGATAGTCGAATCCAGGTTCATGGTTTCTGGGTCCGCTGACAATCAACTGCGGCTGTGGAATGTCGAGACTGGGAAATGTCTGTTTGAATGGGAGTTTCCGACGGCCGTGAAGCGGGTTGCGTTCAACGTTGATGGGACACAAGTCGTGTGCATCACAGAGCAGCGAATGGGATATCAGTGCGCTATCCGCGTGTTTGATATTAACCGGGAGGGAGATGGAACCAGCCGTACGTCATGTACAATCCAGGCGTTTTGCGCCTCGTAATCGTCTTTTCAGAACCTCTGGAACCGCGACACATGTTCAACCCCATCGGCAGCAAAGCGACTGTCTGCGCCTTCACCCTCCTCCCCAACATCATCATCACCGGCCACGAATCCGGAAAAGTGGCGCTCTTCAACGTCAAAAACGGAGATGAGATCGAGAGCAACGAGCGCGCGCACAGCGAAGTTGTCACAGATCTACAGTTCAGCAAGGACCAAACATACTGCATCACGAGCAGCAAGGACAAGTCTGCGCGGATACACGACATCAAGTCGCTGATGGTGATCAAGACGTTCACGACCGAGACTCCGCTAAACAGTGCCGCGATCGCACCGACAAGGCCTTACGTGAGTAGCTCCATGGTCGTGGGACGAATTTCGGTCGCTAAGCACGGTGCAGGTCCTTCTCGGCGGTGGACAGGAAGCAATGAATGTTACGACGACATCCCTGCGCCAGGGTAAATTTGAGACGAGATTCTGGCACAAGGTGTTTGAGGAGGAGGTGGGCCGTGTCAAGGGCCATTTTGGACCCATCAACACGTACGTGCACCGGTCGTGTGTTCTCCTTTTGGCGACTCACCGTGCACCCAGAATTGCCATCCATCCCGCGGGAACATCGTATGCCTCTGGAGGAGAAGACGGTTTCATCCGCGTGCACCACTTTGACGAGTCGTATTTCAAAGTACAGCCGTATGGCTCGTTTGACATCGAGGACTGATTCCTCATTAATGCATTGCATTTGTTGTACAACGTAGACTGCAGTAAACCTTTTAGTGCAAGGCCATGCACCTGATTACGGTAAAAACAGTCATGGATCCTGACGAAAAGACAATACATCATCGATCCGATTCCCCGATCATCGTGCGATCTCGTGACCACGCACAGTGATCGATTGATTCAGCCTCGTTTGCCATTGTGCCTCATGCGAAGGGGCCTCTTTCAGGATGACGCATTGTCCACAAGCGACCTAATTGGGTTCTCTTCCTCTCTCGGATGCTCCCGACGCACTGACCGCGAAGTGATATAAAGCAACCTGCACGCATCGGAGGTTCAAGCAGACCGTCACCGCGACCTGCAACGCCCTGCGATCAGATACCATGCCATTCCCGTTCCCCCGCACCCCGAAGCGACAGATCTCGCGCCCACGCGTATTGGGCGCGTCCCCTTCCACCTCCTCGCCGCGCCGCGACACACCCGAACGACTCCGCCGCGAAGAGCTGCGCGCGGCCTCGCGGCCCCGCCCTACGCGCACGACCCTCTCACCGAATTCCCCCCGCAC